AAAAGAAAGAAAAATAAAGATCTATAAACATTTAAAGGAAGCAAACTCGAAAAAATTTATCACTGAAGTATGACTAACAGAGGAAATTCACTCCAAACTACTTAGAAAACATAGGGCAGCAGAGTTTGATGAGTAATGGCACATACCAGAAGGAATTTTAATTCTTTAAGAAATTTGAGATTAAAATGAGTACTATCAAAAACTATTGCATCCTGAGCCTGGCATAAAGCAGGCACTTAATTATTTAAGTGAATGGATGACATTGTCAGAAAATTTCTGGGATTGAATCCAAGCTAAATATCAAATGTGGTAAAGAACAACCCAATTTCTAAAACCAGAAATTTGATCTAAAGCTAGAGCTCATCTAATCCAAATACATTTTTAGTAGGACCATTTTGAACCAGCATGCAACTCGAGCTATTTGTCCACTTCTTGTTGTAAGAGAGCTTCAGCATCTCCCAAAAGGTGGTTCTTTGTAGTCGGTTTTTTGCTTTGTTTTGTTGTTGTTTTTTCGAGAGTCTAGCTCTGTCACCAGTCTGGAGTGCAGTGGTGCAATCACGGCTCACGAAAACCTCCACCACACAGGCTGCCTCCCAAGTAGCTGGGATTACAGCCATTAGTCACCACACCCACGGCTAATTTTTGTATTTTTAGTAGAGATGGGGTTTCGCCATGATACCCAGGCTGGTCTCAAATTCCTGATCTCAGGTAATCTGCCCACCTCGACCTCCCAAATTGCTGAGATTAATGGCGTGAGCCCCCTTGGTGCCAGGCCTCTTTTTAGTTTTCAATATCTCAGTGGATTTAAGTAAAATCTGCTAATATAATTTTATATTGGACGTTAACCAGAGGGTAACTTTGATACTGGTAAAGTAGCAGTGTAAATTAGGTGAGTTGCAAAGTGTTATAGGAGAACTTCAAGTGGCAAATGCTGATTAACTTTCTGTAGAACACCAAAGGAGAAAGGGGAAAAAAATTATTTTTTGATAGGGCTATTTTTCTTTTCTTTTCTTTCCTTTCTTTTTTTTTTTTTTTTTTTTTTTTTTGTTTTTCTCTCTCTTTCTCCCAGGCTGGAGTGCAGTGTCGGGATGTTGGCTCACTGCAACCTCCACCTCCCAGGTTCAAAGGATTCTCCTGCCTCAGCCTCCCGAGTAGCTGGGATTACAGGTGTTTTGCACCACCACACCAGGCCCGGCTAATTTTTGTATTTTTAGTAGAGACGGGGTTTCACTGTGTTGGTCAGGCTGGTCTAGAACTCCTGACCTCATGATCCACCTGCATGAGCCTCCCAAAGTGCTGGGATTACAGACGTGAGCCACCACGCCCAGCCAGTTGTAGTTTATTTTCTAAAAAAATTAGCCCTGTCGGCTGGGCGTGGTGGCTCACGCCTGTAATCCCAACACTTTGGGAGACTGAGGCGGGCAGATCACCTGAGGTCCGGAAATCGAGACCAGCCTGACCAATATGAAGAAGCCCCATCTCTACTAAAAATACAACATCAGACCGGTGTGGTGACATGTGCCTGTAATCCCAGCTACTTCGGAGGCTGAGGCAGGAGAATTGCTTGAACCCCGGAGGGGAAGGTTGCGGTGAGCTGAGATTGTGCCATTGCACTCCAGCCTGGGCAACAAGAGCGAAACTCCGTCTCGAAAAAACAAAAACTACAACTTTGGCAGGGAGAGTCTGCTTCAAACCTTAATTTGCATAGTAGTTAACCTGGGGATGCTGCTAGAGGCAGATTTGATAGGGCAGGTCTGGGATGGTCCTGGGAGTCTGCAATTCTGAGTGCTGGCAGGTGCTACTGGGTTGTCGACCATACTTTGAACAGCAAAGGTATAAACTCTCATCAAGCTTAGGTGACTTAATCGTTTTCAATTAATAATGTGATTCAAGTGTGATTGTTGTTTTGCAACGAAAGAAAGTTTCCAGAAAACATCAGTACTGCTCATTTCCCCCGTTTTCAAATGGGGAAAAAAACACAACTCTGAATTGTAGTTCCAGGCTCCACAGTCAGTTATTCTAAGGCTGCTTTGAAGGACCACATTACACGCCTATGACCCCAGGGCAGTTCTCCAAGGTGCGGGTGTCAGGGTCAGCTGAGAAGGGCGGAGGGGACACTGGGGATGCCCGGCCGCCCTCGGCCGTAGACGTCAGCCCTTTCCAGGAACGTGCTGGCCCGTCCCCACCGCGCGCGGCCGCCGATTGGCTGAGACAGCGCCGGGCGTGACGTCAGGCCCCGCCCCGCCGCCCTCCGGCCCCGCCCCGCGGGGTGGCCTGGCAGTTTGGTCTGGAGCAGCTGAAACCGGTTTGAGCGTGGCCGCTTCCTGTCGCTCGGCGCCGCGGCGGGCCGCCTGGGAGAGCGCTGGCGAGGCACGGACGGCGGGCGCCCGGCACCTCGGCCCGGGGTCCTCGCTCTCGGGCGGGGCGGGGGCGACGCGGACCCGCGGACTAGCGAACCCTGCAGGTGAGGCGGGCCGGCGGGCGCCGGGTGCGGGGGCCGGGCAGCCGCTCACGTGGCGGGCCGAGCTGTCAGGGCGGCCCCGGGACGCGGCGGGGCGGGGGGCGTCGGGGCCGAGGCGCGGGCGGGGTCCTCGGGCCGGGCCGGGCGCTGCCCGCAGGGGAACGGCGGCCGGGCGTTCGCTGCGCTAAATCGGTGGCTGGGATGCACTCTTGGACTTTTATTGTTCACGGCCGCGGTTCCGCTGGGCTGCCTGAGGCTTAGTTCCCTTCTGAAAAATGCGTGGGGCACTTGAGGGATAGCAGGATGCGTGGCGCGTAGGACCACCGCAAACGTGCGGAGTACTGAGTCAGGGAACAAAGACACCAAAGACGCAGGTGAAACCCTCTGCGGACTTCCCCTGCCCCACCGCGGCCCCCTGGCGCACCGCCGCGCGGTGTCCCTAAGTTATTCATCGTGTTTTGACAACTGCTTATTTTCCGAGATTACCTGGACACGTTGTCTAGGGCATGCTTGTGTAATTCAGTTATTCCCAAAAACCGAAGTGCCTTTCCTAAGAAGAGGTTCCAGGAATAGTCATCAGTGACCTCGATACGATTTTTTTAGGTCTGCTGCCCCTTCGCTTCAAAGCTCTACTTTCCCAAAGCTCTTCAGACTTCCTTGTTGAGTTAGGGGAGACAGCCTCAATCACTTAGGTGTTTTTCATCAGCCCTCCCCCCAGACTCCACTGGCCGGCTGGAAAAGAAATCGGGCATGAATTGTAGAGGATTCTTCCACCTTAAGGCAGCTGTTAGTCTGATGTAACCTGCATAGAGGAACTGATGGAAGCGAGCAGGATGTTTGGACCCGATGTTTTCTTCATACTCTTCCGTCGCCCTCCCATTTCTGCACAGCTCTCACCCACTACTCTACCCCTTCATGTTTCCCTTGCTACGTTTCTGACAAGTTGTGACTTAACTAAGAAATAAATACAAGCTAGCAGTCTTTTTTTCCCCCAAAAAATTCCTAATGTCGTGGATACAAATAACACCAAGCAAAACTGCACATGGTGCAATCTATTTCTGATTAAGAACTAGGAAGAGCCAGAGCTAGAGAAAACCCTAGTATTCTATACAAAATTTAAATCTGCAAATAACGACGTGGGAAAGTTGGACTCAGAGAAATAATGACCACAAAAGAAAACTCATCGTGGCAAAGTGAGTAAAATTTGATATATACATAAACTACATTGATGAATTAAATCTTTATGAGTTAAAACAGGAAAAAAAATGTGTGAAACATACACGAGAATAATATCACGATAAAATGAATGGAAAACGTTTGGGGAAATGTTACTGCATTGTTTACAGAGTTGATTGATCAAGGAACTGACTAGGCTTAATGAAATCTATTCCAGAAACAGTTTCTTTTTTTTTTCTTTAAGATGGGGTTTCACCGTGATGGCCAGGCTAGTCTTAAACTCCTGACCTCAGGTGATCCACCCACCTCGGCCTCCCAAAGTGCTAGGACTACAGGCGTGAGCCACCGCTCGCGGACTGAAACAGTTTCTTAATAAAGATCCATTAATGTCTTAACATGTTTTATTAAACTATTGGCTTAAAGTATATGGGAATCAGAATGACAGTCACAACTTGTTAGAAACATAGCAAAGGCCATAATCGTTCTTCACTAAGATGAGCAAAAATAACTCAGGGAGAGGTAGGAATTTTATATATTCCTTTATTCAGCTAGTTAAGAGGATCAAAGCTGCCAAGGCCTAGGAAAGGGCAAGGAGAATTGGAAACAGCTTTTTTCCTTGAAAAAATTTGAAGGAAAACAGATATTCCTTTTAGCCAGAAAAACACTTTAGCTAAAATATCTGACTTCAGTTTAAAGTAAATGTCTCTGTACCTTAGTTTACTTCATATCCCTTTTGTTTCCCAGGCTGGTAAATCAGTAGTGTCACGTGTTGGGAAACTTTATTCGAGGAAAAGAATAGAGTAGAATTTATTTTGCCAGGTAGTGTGAACTCTGAAATTTTAAAAAATGTAAATTAATTACCATGTTATTTTGCCAGTTGCCTGAGTCTTTTAAAAAGGTTTATGTAAATACTCAGAATCTCAGATGAAAATGCTGTTTAGTTTTTCTCTTCAAAAAGTACAAAATGAATGTTATGTTTTCAATAACCAAAAAGCAAAAGCCTGTCTCATAGTCCTATGTGAGGTAATAGGCGAGTTGGTTAAATTAGCTGGTCAGCTCACGTGCATACAATGACTAATGTTTTTCATCTGACTCTTGTTTCATGTATATCCAGAAGACCTCCCTTTTTTCTTTCTCTTTCTCCTTCTTTTCCCTCCCTCCCTGCCTCCCTCCCTCCCTTCCCTCCCTCCCTCCTTCCCTCCTTCGCTCCTTCCTTCCCTTTTTTTTTTTAATTTTAAAGATGGGGTTTCACCATGGTGGCCAGGCTGGTCTTGAACTCCTGACCTCAGGTGATCCACCCACCTCGGCCTCCCAAAGTGCTAGGATTACAGGCATGAGCCACTGCACCCGGCCCAGACCTCCCCTTTTCAATTTAGGATTTTTTTTTTTTTACTTGTTTAGAAGAAGATGTATGGGTGGGTGCATAAATTTTTTGTACCACAACACAATTGTTTACTTTGTCACTGCTGCTTTGCTGGTGGTAACTGGATGCCAAAATTGTATACTTCAACACTGCATCAGACTTTTGGCCTCTGTCCATAATCCAGTTAACTGCATTTGGAACAACTCCCTAGCCTTTTATATGGTATGGTATCAAATTTGGGGGTTGAGGGGTGGTCAGGCTGGAAATCAAACCGGATTGCTTGCCTTTGGCAAATCAAGTGGAAGATGATGCTTTGTTGACCTTTGGGGAGGTTTTCTGGGAGGTGTTTTTGTGCTTGTGTATGTAGTTTTGTATTTACTGGAGCTGTTTACTGCCAAGTTACTATAGTCACTCTTATAAAATAAAAGACTCAATTTCTATAATCAGTTCATTTCCCTTTTATTAAATTTACTTAAGTTTTCCGTTTGCCTTAATGCAATAGAAATCTAGAGATAATTTTGTACTAGCTGTTGATTTTAATGCATGGGAATAATATCTGGTTTCCCTTAAGTTGATGAAAACAGTTATTTAAAATTAACCCACAAATAGCAAAATACCAACTATTTAATCATGTATATGAGGTTGTCCTTAGTTGAGAACCATGTCAGTCAATGCCAAATGAAAGGACAACTTAAAGGTTAAGATTGAAGTTGTTCTTTCAGCCCTTTTGATGGGTGATGGAATATTTACTCTCTTAAAATTAATTCAGTAACTTAAATATTTGTCAAGCATTTTATTTTATTTTATTTTATTTTATTTTATTTTATTTAGGTAGAGTCTCACTCTGTCACCCAGGCAGTGTGGTGGTGCAATCTCAGCTCACTATAATCTCTGCCTTCTGGGTTCAAGTGATTCTCATGTTTCAGCCTCCCAAGTAGCTGGGATTACAGGCATGTACCACCACTCCTGGCTAATTTTTTTTTTCTTTTTTTGTATTTTTAGTAGAGACGGGGTTTTGCCATGTGGGTCAGGCTAGTCTTGAACTCCTGACCTAAAGTGATCCGCCTGTCCCAGCCTCCCAAAGTGCTGGGATTATAGGCATGAGCGATCAAGCCTGGTCACCATGTTTACTCTTGGTTGCCGAAAGTAGAATAAGAGGTTATTTATCTTAAGAAATTATTTTGATGAATGAAGGGAAGGCTTGCTTTCTTTTTTTTGAGGGAGGGAGACAGAGTCTTGCTGTGTCACTCCTGGGTAGCTGGAATTACGGTTGCCCACCATGATACCTGACTAATTTGTATTTTTAGTAGAGACAGGGTTTCACCATGTTGGCCAGGCTGGTCTCGAACTCCTGACCTCAGGTGATCTGCCTGCCTTAGCCAAAGTGCTGGGATTACAGGCATGAGCCACCGTGCCCTGCCAAAGGGAAGGTTTTCACTAGTGTAGTATTGGATGTTCTAATCAAAATGCTGAAGTTGCCAAATATAGAATTTCTTTTTTTCTTTAATTTTTTTTGTTTTTATTTTTTGTCTTCTTATTTTTCAAATAGAGAATTTCTTGTCCAAATATGACATGACTCCACATTGATGGTCTTGCACTCTGTGAGATGAATATTGGACAATGTACATTTTTATGTATATATAAACACACATTCAGTGTTACATTTTATAATTTACGTAAATGTATTGATACATAGCTTATAGCTAACTTGGAACCTGGACTGTTGACCCTCATCTCAACCTCAGCCCTGTTGTTGTTTGGAGCTGGACAGTTAATTATTTGTGGAGGGATGTAGTGTGTATTGTAGGGTGTTCAGCAGCACTCCTTGGCCTTTACCCGCTAGATGCCAGGAGTGCCACTCCCAGTTGTGATAACCAAAAATGCCTCCTGACATTACCAGATAATCCCCTGGAGGGCAGAATTGCCTTCGGTGAGAACTGCTGGTATAGATCTATCTACCTTGACTGGGAAGTGTAGCTAATTGTGCATAGCAGTGTTCATTAAATGACTCAAGGGGAGGGGAAGGGAGCAAAGCAGAACTAGAAAAATGACTAAGGTAGCTATGAAAGGTACTTTCGAATTGTTTCATAAAGTAATATATAAATGCAATTGTTTCATAAAGTAATATATAAATGTACATGATGCAGAATAAAGATGTGATTGGAATTCTTGTAGGAACATTGGTGGGTTGGGGGGCAAAGGTTTTTTTAGGGGGTTGTTGAAGATTTGTAGACTATGGTGTGTCTTTTGGTGGAGTATGTTCTTTCTCCATTTAAATTATGTAACTATCTCGAAGTATATGTATGTGTGAATTTATTTTTTTGACTTCCTTTAGGTACTTAAGTTAGTGGATGGGAAACAGATTCCTTTGGCTGACACAGACAGGGAAGAAATTTAAAAATTAGCTTTCTCTCTCTTCTCTCCCTCTCTGTCTCTCTCTCTTTTATGAGACAGAGTTTCACTCTTATTGCCCAGGCTGGAGTGCAATGGCAAGATCTTGGCTCACCACAACCTCTGCCTCTGGGTTCAAGCGATTCTCCTACTTCAGCCTCCTGAGTAGCTGGGATTACTGGCATGCACCACCACACCCAGCTAATTTTGTATTTTTAGCAGAGATGGGGTTTTTCCGTGTTGGTCAGGCTGATCTCAAACTCCCGACCTCTGGCGATCCTCCCTCCTTGGCCTCCCAAAGTGCTGGGAGCCACCAAGCCTGGCCTCTTTTATTTATTTATTTATTTAATATATATATATAT